TTTTCATTCTTTGACTGGCATTGGGAAAGGTCCTGCCTTGACAGGACTGTCTTGCACACTGCCACACCTGCTGCTGCTGGCAAACAGCAGTTTAGGGAGCGGGAGCTCAAAGTGGATTGTGTTGAGCTGAAATGTCTCAGTGCCGTGGGGTGCAGAGTGTGTTGGAGTTTGCTACCAGACAGGTGCAAGGGGACCACAATGAGATCCTAGATCCTACAAGTGTCTAAGGACCTTCTTCCATGGCTTAGGAGCTGATCCAGGCAAAAAGTAGAGGGTTTAGTTTTACAGAAAATGGAGGCAAAGACGACTTACCTGCTTAGGTAAGTACTGTGCACAAAGGAGTTTTTGGAGTAAATCACCATCTTAGTGCATTATGTTGAGCCACGGGGAACTTCAGGATGCAGAAGAACAGCTGCATAAAGAAACCCTGGCTTGCGTTACCAAAGGTACATTGAGGAATTTGATCTGATTTGATATTTGTTATGCTTTCTGTAGAAAAGAGTCCACTTTCTCCTCAGAGAAGAAACAAGAGAATTGCTCCTATGCACATGCAGAGCGGCTTTTGTGGAGACAAAGAACACTTCTGCATCTCACTCTTCTATTGTTGTCCCTGAAGAAAGCAATCAGAAAAATCAGCCTCTGCATATTCTTCACCACCTTGGGCAGGTTTAGCAGCTTAAAACCAGACCTGGAGCAAAGATCACTTGGGGCTGGTTCTTGCTGTTCCCGCTCTGTGTCCTCCAGGGGAGGGGAGGAAATGGCTTGCTCATGAGTGCAAGCATCTGGATTTCAGCAATTTTCTGTAAGATGTGTTTTGTTCTGTTTTGCTAAACTGCCTTTGAATTACAAATTACTGCAGATTACAGTGACCAAACTTGTGGTCAAAGTTTGATAGTTAAAAGATATCATTATAACTCATTTAGAAATCCTGCTAATATCCCTACTTTGGCACAGAGAAAGTCACTTCAAAAATAAGCAGTCTTTTGAAGAGATAAGAATATTTAAGTTTGAAAGCAAAGACTTCAACCATATCTTTGGGGGGGGGAGTCCTTTATGGTCAAAAAAAAAAAAAAAAAAAAAAAAAGAGAAAAACCTAAAACCATTGATTATCTCATACTGACTCCTACATGGGTTAAGGCACAATTACACAGTAACTTGTAACAAACAATATTAGAAGGCAGGGATTTTGCTTTTTTTATGTTTACATTCTTTATCAAATTATGCAGTACAAGGTCAGGCGACACAGATGAGGGGAACTACCAGAGTTATGTGGGACATTTAATCACCTCCACAGCTGGTTACCGTCACAGCAGCTTATGGGACAGCTCCTGTTGAGCTGGAACCAGCTGCTAAATCCCAGTCCTACTGATCTGGAACCACAGCCTGACTTTCTTCTCTGTGCTTCAAGATACAGCCCACTGATACAGGAATATTTTCCTAGGAAACAGGGAGCAGAACAGAGAAAACTCACTACAGAAATCCAGCCAGCCTCTTCTGCAAAACACTTTTTATAGGTGTATTTTTAAAACCAGAACAAATGCATTCATTAAATTACTGCTGCTTAATAACTATTAGATCTGTTAGAGAGTAGAATACTTGGGGAGTTTCTCTGCTTTTCTCTGGCAGTTTATCCCATTGTGCAAAATACACTGTTGCCAAGTAGCCAAACAATATAGCATTATTTGGTGCTGAAGGACTGTGGGGTTTTCCTTTTTTTAATTTTTACATGATGTTTGTTTGAATTTAACAATAGGAACGGTAAATTGACAGTCTCCCCACAGTCTTTTCATCCTTTTTAAGGGATTTCTTCCTTTGCCTAGTATGAACTCCATCTTCTGTTTTTCTCCCCTAAGTGCTACAACAATGATTTTTAACTTTCCTTCCTCCAAGTTTATTCTCCAATAGCAAGATTAAGCCATTAAATCTATTTGCACAGGCCAAATTACCCCAGGCTTTCACTTCAATTCCCACAGCTTTGCTTTGTACTTCACTTTCTTTCATCAATAATCTGGAGAGAAAAATCTATCTTACCAGCACCTGTGGTGGTTAAAAACAACCATCATACCAAAAAAAAAACAACCCACTTTTGCTTATCTTTAATGTGATGATAGAGAACAAGTCTTGATTTTTTTTTCATATTGGATGCTGCAGAACATTTTGCCCAGTAGAAATCATTTGAACAAGCCAACAGACAGCAGTAATGACTCAAAGTTACCACTGTCATCAATGAAGTTAAAAATCAAACTCTACAAGTCAAATATTCCATCTTGCATAAAGAGCCTCCTGAATGACTATTTTCTGATGACAATTCTAGCACAGAGGCTGTACTATGAATTTTACACAGATTATTTTTTCTATGCAAAGATGCTTTTGTGTACTTTTTCCACTTCCCTTAAACATTCATGGGGATAAACCGTTGAAAGAGGGACTAAAATAAAACATTCCCAAATAATTCTTCACGTATGAAAAACCACCTTAGTTAATTTCTTGGTGAAAGGTGTCAATGTCTTCAGACACAATCTGCTAAAAAAAAAATACAAGCAAGTTTTTACATGTGTCCCCTTTGAAAGAACAAGGTATTTTTGTCTCAACAGTCTAGTCAAAAAACACCACAAACCCCTTGCTTTCCAGATATGATAAAACCAAATCCTATGCAATTTGGCTTTTTGAATTTAACATTGGCATTTCATTGAACATGAGAGTTGAATGGATAAAACTAAGTTAGCTTTCCTCAAATGAGTTCAGATCTGAGTAACCATTTATCCACACTCATTAATCACAGGGACTTCAACCAGTATCTATATGTAAGTGGGCCATAAATACTAAATTTAACAAAAATTCATAAGGAAGCTGTAACTCCTACTTTGCTTTTGAGGTATTTAGGATTTTTTGAATGGCATCTGTTCTTTCACTAACTTTGGAAAAACAAATACTCCATTAAATTGCTTTTTATCAACACTTAAGAAAAAGTCAGCTATGATACTTCTCTACATCTGCCACAGAAGGAAACCTTTTCCTGGAATATGTCTTCTGCCTGATTTCAGGCAAGCTATGTCTGCCTTCTCATCTCTGTATCTAACAAGCAGGGCAGCTGGGGTTCCCACTACCCATCTGGACCCACTGCAGACTGCTCCTCACTCCCAAGCTGAGTTCTTTACTAACAAGAAGTGAACTGCACTGAAACGAAAGATGAAATGGAGAAAAACATCATTTACACAGTTACTTCTAAATTTCTTTTTTAAATCCATTTTTATTAAAACATTCACTTTTAATGCCTTGTAGAAATCCACCACCTTGGAGCCATCGGAAGCTGCTGACTTTCTTCAAACATGTCAAAGGAAGAACAGGTACATCTCCAAATTCTGCTTCAGTGGAATTTTTTCTCACTTTTAACGTTAACCGGTTGGATTTATTAAGTTCTGTGAACTTGGTAAGATTCTTCACCTTGTCCTTTTAAAAGTATGCTTTAAAGAAAACTACTTTCATAAACAAGCGGTAAGTACACATAGAGGTTCAGCATGCACCAGAGGGCTAAAGTACAGGAGAACCACAAGGAGTACACAGATAGTAGACTGTGCTTTTAACAAACTACCCACAGAGACAACAGTGAATGCAGATAAGGAAAGAGGAAAGACTATCTGCAACCGAACAAGGACTAAAATGCCATAGTAACAATGGTTTCAGGTCATCTAACACACTGGTACAGTTTAAAATTCACACTCAGTATAAACAAGACCTGTGATGATGCAGGGGGGCAAGCTGCAGTGCAATGCCTGAACTCCCACAGAAAGGCTGATACCAGGGATGGCACGACTCTGATTCACTCAGGAATTAGGCATCAGATTTGAAAGTCTCATGTTCATACAGTGGGGTGGTCTATGCTGTGAGACAAGCAGAGTAGGATGGTTGGTATCCATATCTGTGAAGGCAGAAGGAAAACTTCCACCTCTGACAATAGTGAGCAACGGCATCAGTGAACCTTGCCTTTTGGGATCTGTTTTCAGCTTCCTCACTCAGCAGTTCAGTACAAGGCTACTAGCATTTCTCACCCATTTCTTTCATTTGCTAGCTTTCCCATAAGACAACAGCAGAATGCATCAGCAGATGAGTCTATTTTAAGGTTGACCCCTTGGTTACTTTCACAATACATACACTGAACCGTTGGGACATTTGAACATGCCCTTTATCACAGGATCAAAGTGTTCTATTTATGCCCTTGGCACATACATACTTGTTTACTGGAGTCAGAATTTGTCCTGCATGGTCTCCAATCCAGTTTTTACTTAAAACTACAATGATACATGCTTTTTTTTAAAAAAGGTCTTTCTCAGGTTTGACACACATGACAATTTGGGTATCTTTGACTTAGCTGAAGTTTTAAGCCAAAAATAGTGGTTTAGGTTTTAAGAAAGTTTAGATGTTTGGCAGTACTTGGTAACTAATTTGTGCAAAAAGTCCAGCAAGTTTTAATACTGATTTAAGAAATGGGCTTAACAGAAAACAGATGCCGTTAATAGTCCATCTTACTTCATTAATGAAATGTGCATAACCTTGCTGTGTCTATTTACAGGAGGTTAGGACTTATCCATTTTGCATCTCTCTTCTGCTCCCTACAGCCTTTCATATTAACTTACTTTCATACCCAGTCCATTTTAATACAACGGGAGGTTTCCAAGCAAATTGACTGCCATATTTCCATACTTCAGCCATTCAAAGTGTTCACAAAGCCACATCTACTTTTTGAAAGTTAATCAGGCAGGTATCGTTGTAGGGATTTCACAGATAAAACTAAGAATCACCATCTTTTGATATATTATTTTCATGAAAACATAGTAATAAGGAACACTTGTATACACATTTCCCTTTTGTTTGTTTGTTTTAAGTTATATTTGGCACAAAAAAAATCAGCCTGTAACAAATTTCAGCATAACAAAGATCCATGGGATCACACATATAATAGAAGGTGACCTTCCTCTGTCACTTAAAAGCTCCTGCTCTTACTAAGAATCCACCTTGGGAAAGATACTGACTTTATTGTTTCTGCTGATTTTTCTTTCTGCTTTACACTTAGGCTGTTTTGTCTGGATCAGCTCTTCAGGGGTATTCCCCAAAGGAGGCAGGAGTCGCTTCTTACTATTTCGGTTTTCTGACAGCCACTGTGGAGGCAGTTCAAAGGGTCCAAAACCAAACTGCATGGAATATTTATCATTTACCACATCAGCTTCTGTGGGCACAGCTGGCGCCACCTGCGCTGCGGAGCCTGCAGTCATCTGTGGTATAAATTTATGAACCAAAGTCTCTCCTACCTCTAAACTGGTGGCAGGAATTTCTTTCTGTTGAAAGTCACCAGAGCCAACAGATTTAGTCTCATTCTCCTCATCTTCCGTTGACTTGAAGATTTGTTGTTGCCCAATATGAAACATCTCCAGAAGCTGGCTCCCCGAACGGACACTGGGCTCCAGATTAGCATCTGCAACACCACCCAGGCTGACAATGTTTCTCCTGCTATACCTTCGGTGCAGCCGTATTAGTGTCCCCACTAAGCATTTCCGTACTGATTTGTTAATAGTTAAAAATAACAAAGGATTGGCCAGCAAAGAAACCTTGGGCAACCAAATGGCAGTGAGGAGCAAGAAGACTGAAATATCTGAAATATTGAGTATGGTACGGTAAACCACCAAAGTTACGTAGGGGACACTGCAGAAAATAAATATCATAACCATGGAAAGCAGCATGGCATGAAGCTCAGCTTCTCGCTGGGAGGCATAAGGGATAGAAATTGTATTCTGAGGGGTCCTTAAGGCAGCTATGATGACTTTTTTCTTCTGGCTGGCACTCAGTGCCCTGCGAATAAGAATCATGAAGAGAAACACCACAGCCACTGGTACAATCACAGTGGTGATGTTATAGATGATGACATATATCAGGTGGCCAAGGGAGTAACTCCAAGATTCAGAACAGGTGGACATGGCATAAATATCAGACACATTGGTCACAGCAAATACTGGAATGCTGGCCACTATGGCATGCGCCCAGATATAGATAACCAGGTCTCGGGATTTTGCATCAGATATTTTTCTTTCCAGGGGGTATAAAACAGAGTAGTATCTGTTCAAAAAAAAAAAAAAAAAAAAGAAGAAAAAAATTACAACTGATGATACAATGCAAAGGGTGAAATCTACAATGAGCATAATGCTTATGAGACACCTCTCAGGAGCTATCTAAGCATAATGCCCCAAATCCCTAACTGGATTGCAAATTGACTACCCGCTTATGAGAGAAAAAAAAAACAAAAAAACAAACAAGGGTCTACCTTTGCAGGTCTGTCTGTAGAAAAAAACCTGAATATTCAAACTTCAGGATCACACTATTGACGATGAACAATTCTTTCAATAATTGGGGCTATATCACTTTGGCTGATGTGTATAAACATTATTTTGAAGATTTCATCATTTACTTAACTGTAAACTGAGCAGTATATTGCACACAGCACAAAATTTCAGAAAACACTATGGAGGCATAGATTGAAAGGCCAGACTTGTAGTTAATTTGAAAAGCTGCTTTATGATAGATTTTGTCTCTGGATACCTGGAAAAAGCTGTTGGTCGCAAATTACATGTAGCCATCTACTGGAAGTACAACAGGGTTTTGGTTTTGTACAAGCTCTGGTTGGCAAGGCCCTGAGCAAAACAGTAGTCGAACACTGAGCATTCTGTGTGCATTAAAAAAAAAAAAAGAAGAAAAAAAAAAAGAGATCTCTGACATGCACTTCAAATTTCAGGCACTGATCCATTGTTTGTTTACTACCGTGAACTTTTAAGCTCACAGAATTTTCATGAAACCTATCCTTTTACACTTAAAAGCAGTAGCAGTTTGTGCTTTTTGTGAGGAAGATCTCAAGTTTCACTGGTGAAGGGCAAATGATACACTGTGCCAGTGGCCACACTGGTGTGCATTACAGATAGTGATACTGCATTTATCAAGACAATAGAGACATATCACTCTATTAGGTATACAGTTTAGTTCTGCAGAGCTAACGTATTCTGTGGTGAGACACGGTAACAGACTAACAATAATTTTATCTAACATATAAATCCACTGTTTTAGTAAAGTAAACTGCATTAAACCAGTACCTTCCTTAAAAATTAAACCTTCCTTAAAAATACCTAACTTACAGTCACTGTCAAGATGTGCATTTAGGTAGGATTAATAACTGCTAATAATAATAATAATAACAAGCAAAATGAATGGAATACAAAAACTGGGACAGTCTGAAGGGACACTTTCATTTTAGACTGACCTGCATACAAAACCTCTCTGAATTAATTCTGGTTGTCTTAATATTGTTTGGGCTTCTTTAAAACAAATCTATATTTGAAATTTGAAATTAATGGACAATCTACCTCAGGCACTGGTAAATTCTTACAACAGGCAATGGCTTTCAACTTCCACAGTTAAAAATGCGTGCCTTGTCTACAATCTGAAGTTGTCTGCTTTCAAGTTCCACTACTGAACAAGAATTACTAACAGGACTAAAGAAAGGACAAAAACTTCTCTAAGACAAATCTGTAGGCTCAAAGACCTTTATAAATGTCCAGAGATATCCCAGCAAACTGAAAAATAAAGGTTTTCAATATTACAGAGAGGAATATTTATCCCAATATTTTCTAGAAAGAAGCTGTACACAGTGAGCAAAGCACTGGAACAAGAACAAGACCAATATGAAAGGGAGAAAAAGTTTTTCCAAGAAAAATCAAGGATCCTGGCAAATTTGCCCTCTTACCTGTCAAGAGCAATGGCTGGAAAACTAAGGATGGTCACTGAGCAGAAGACTTTGTGCAGAAACTTTGCAATTCTGCAGAAGAGCATCGTATAGATCCACCAGCAGCAGTGTGGACTGGCACTAAGAGCAATGTCAAAAGGCACACAGACTAGGCTGGCACAGATCCCCGAGCAGGCCAAATTCTTAATGAATCGGTTTGTTACAGATTTAAGTACCGATGTTCTGCAAGTTGACCACAGCACCATGATGTTACCTGTGAGCAGAGACAGTAGGATAAACAAAGCAAAAAAACCCCAAACACTCAAAAAAACCAACCGATCAACCACCCCCAAAACACAACAATAGTTTTAACAGATTTGAATGTTCTCTAGTACTGCATATAAAAATACTTGTTTGGAGTTTGCCAGGAGTCACTGATTTGAACCATCACACTGCTCAAACTAAAACGTCTGTAATGGCTAGTGGCTTTATAAATCTGATGCCTGAAAACAACAGGCACCCCAGCTATCTCCTCCCAGCTTCTAGTAATGAATGAACTAGGGAATTTCAGAGGCAAATGCCTAAGCATGATATCCAAACTGCTTTTAGATGCTTATGTTATATTGACTCCTGCATTAAACGAGCCATATCCTGAGAAATTTGCTAAAGCGCTCATATTTTAATAACTACTGCATAATTCTTTTTTAAAGATAAAAATACACTGTAAGTAAATATAAATATATAAATAAATATAAATATGGTTTTAATCTGTTTGTGTAAGTGGATCACAGCAGCTTGCTTTTCTTTTCATGGGCCACTTCAATGGCACAATGGCACAGACATGCCTGTGTAAAGCCACATCCAGAAGAAATTTGTCGTCCCGTCCCCCCCACCAAGAGATTTTATATCTGCATAATAACATGTAATGAAACAAATGGGACAGGCAAAAAAACAAAACAAAAAAAGACTTGATGCACATAACCACAAAAGTACACACAGAATGCAATGCACCATTTTGGATATTCAAGCCCTAAACTTTTATTTCAAATAGGGTGAATGGATGGCAGTGAAGCACAAGTGCAGAGAGAAATCAGCATTAGCTAGTGTTTTTCCCTTATCATTGTATCTTATTCTATCCAGATCTCATAAAGAAATATAGTATCAAGGAAACAAATTTTCCGTTGCAAATTTCCCTGTGATTCTAACTCACGCAGCAACAGCACCAGAGTAACTGAAGCAATCTGTTCTTACTGCATGCCACTCTGGGCCCCTTCAAAGGCATACCAAGATGACAGAAAACTCACACTCAGAATAAAAGATTTTCTCTCTCCTTTAAAAACCTGTCTTTAGCAAGATGTTTGGGGTTTTTTTAAATAAAATAAAATAAAAAACAAAACAAAAGAGTATTACCAGTAAAAAGAACGCTTAATAGAACTGTGCAAGAATGAAGATGATTTAAGTCTCACCTTGAATGTCATAAACCACCCACAATTCTCAAAGCTTTTGCCACTTCCAATTAATACAAGTTAAAGACAATACCATAGGTGAAGGAAATGCAGACACCCACCATATGACCACAGAAATGGTTGCTTGGCCAAAGTGCATTTTATGCAGACAGAAGGACTCCCACAGACAGGTCAGCCCATGATGGCTGGCGATGAAAATCACACATCTGTACTTAAGCACTTGCTGCAAACTGCCTGGAGTGCACTCAGCTCCATGGGCCCAGCACACATGGAACTACACCACACGTTGTCTCAGCAATAGCTCTTCCTTGGACTGAGAAGTCCCCATCCTCTGTGCCTCCATGGTCAGAGGGGAGTGATCTTAAGGAGGGAGAGGGCACTGGGCAGCAGACACTCTTACACCTGCTCCCTGTCTTCATGGCTCTGGCTTTACCCTCCCACGGCAGATGACACACAAGAGGCAGCAAACTCTTACGCTGATCAACCACTGTGGCAGACACTTTCTGTGGTACCCAAGGAGATGGAGATGTACTAGTGCAGAGCTGAGACAGAAGGATCTCTGCTAGCACAGCTGAGCGGGGCACACACAGTACATCATGTAACCTGGTTCCAGCTTTCCACCCATGTCTGCACAGACACCATTTTGGCTCAGGCTCTAGCACCTCATACTTGAACATTTTCGTGCCATCTTCAGACAGAGCTTTTGAAGACTCACTGACAGCAACAGGAAATACAAACTTTCAAAGTCTGTTAAAATGGGAAGGCAGCAAATGAATGTGCGAGTTGTCCAGAGCAACTTAAAAGCACACATTTTTGAAGATACATGCATAACATATATTTCTAAGCAAGTTGTCCAATCGAAACGGAAAGGTGCCTAATGTTTCAGCTAAATGTTTGTCACACAAACAGCATAAGAACAGCACTAAACTTTGGAGGTTTCACAAGCATTCTCTGGAAACTTACAAAGCATCAGAATTATTTTCAGAAAGCATTCACCCTTTTATGAAATGATCTGACAAAGAAATGAAAGCACCCCCCCCAGTAATTCTTCACAGAGGTTTTAATAGGGAAAAACCTCTAGTGGAGCACATATCTCTAGATGCTACTATCCCCTAGCTAATCAATTCTAATGTGACTTATTAAATACCTCACTTTCCATAAGACACTAAGCAATAGACAGTCATTAAATCATCTTACCAGACAGCAAATCCAAGACAAAAATAAAATGTAATAGCTCCGTGCATGAGACTGATTAAACTATGTTCAAATTTTCATACTGAAGAAATAACTGCAATCGTTCTTTGTTATCCAGTTCACTGTGCAGCAGGCAAGTTGTCCTGAATGCTGGGTATTAGTGAATTAGCAAAATTCTCAGCATTGGCCAAATCATGCAGCTGCACTCAGTGCCTAGATCGTGTGAGAGGTAGCTATTTTGCACTAGCATTAACTACATGGTAAAGGCCAGCATCATCTTAATAACATGTGATTCTCCTCTATTTTATTTCTCCCAGAGACATACTATGCAGTACCACCAGATCAACCAAAGCATAGCTATCAGCATGAAAATACTGCTTGTTAAGACAACTCCATTTACTCTGCTGCAGCTGGACAGCATACAAAGTTGAGTTTAGCTTCCTACCTCCAAAAAAAGTTGTTCTTACTGCAGACTGTATCAACAACACATGTTGTTGATACTATGCATTGTTGACACTTACCAGAAGCTCTTTTGGGTTGAACTGGAATTGATTTATGAGGCAGTCAGATTTGTTAGTATTTTTGTAGGGTACCTACAAATACAGACAGTGAGAGGAAACAGCATCTTAAGCTGCTGATTGAGACATGAAAAAGCAGCTGCAGTCCCTCATACTTCTCTCTGTTGACACTACCATTCTTTGGCTTGATTTTTCCTCTAACCGATAAAAAATCCCCAAGCTGTTATTTGCCGAGCACTGTTTTCCTATGGCTGCCCACACAAAATGCCAGCGAGATCATACCCTTTTTCACACGGCCAATGTGTCTGGCAAGTGGCAAGTACCAAGGAACGCTAGAAAGTCAAGTTTAGCTTCTTGATAAAACAGTGCACTGTTTCAACAGAAGCATGCAGTATTAACTTTAAAATCTACCTCACAGACATACTATTGAGGTCTGCAGCACTTGAATGTCATTTGGAATTCAATTTTCTATATATTGTGTCATGTGTCTTATGCAAATTCACTTTTGGTAGCTGACAAAATATTGAGTTATGTATTTACTATCTAACGTGTTTTAAAGAATGGAATCATCATCTGGTTTTGGCAGGTGCTTTGGGCTTGACAACATATTCCACAGGCAGTATTCAATCAGTTGTACTTAAAGCTTCTTAGGTTGCCAGGAGATGCTCAGTCGATCAAATCACTTGTTTTCAAAAATATCTCTAACTCTCCAATTATTAAAGAAGTATTTAATAATATATGATTACAATGCCCTGGAACAGGGGAGAAGCTGAGGGGTTTGTTTTGGTTTTTAAATTTAAATCTTTCATCTAGTTTGAATTGCATTGCTTTTATAATCTTACTTGCAAAGCAAGTTTCACCTCCATTAGAATGAAGATAAATGAAGAATCAAAAAACAAATCAGAGGGTTTTTCATTAATACTTCAGGAGCTCTAGAGAACTCCTAAGGTATTCTTCAGGGTCCCACAGAGGAGCTTCATTCAAGACTCCAGATTCTCAACTGTTGAATTACTTCTACAAATTTTCATTATACAGCAGAGAGTCACAAGGAAATGAAATTAGCTGTCGTGCTGACTGATCCTAAATAGAAGTGGAAAGACTAAAGCATAAAAAAAAAAAAAAAATTGGTTCTAAGATGAAAATCAACCCTTTAGGCAGACAAAATAAAGTCAGAGCCTGAAAGCGGAAAAAAAGCCAACAGAAGTCTCCACTTGGGACACTGGAAAATTAGCGAGTGAATATCCCTCAGAAAAACATTCTTTTTCCACCCACCAACTATGAGTGACTTGTATATTAATAAGTTGCTCTGATGAACCAGATCAGCTTTCAGTATAGACTGGCAGGTCTTTCTGCTCATGCCTTCAAATAAAGTATCTCCCTTCATGCATCTCAAAGCCACCCACTCAGAGAAAAAAATACACCAGTAAGTCTGCACAGCATTAAACATTAAGAAGCTTCAGAACAAAACTGCATCATCTCCCATTTCATTGCTCCTCACTTTCTCCCAGCAACTCCTTTCCATGGAAGAGGATAACAATGTTCCAGGCAACACGGTAATTCAACAAGCATTATAGCAATTGCGCTCTAAATCTTTTCACAACGTCTAGCGGCACTTTTTCTGTTCTGTATGTAT